CATCTGAAATTGAATTTAGAATTGTGGGTGTCACCCTAACAAGCAGATGTGAAGCAATAAGTTGTGTTCATATAGTGTAGTTGACATGAGGGACATCATGATGATGATGCAATGTTTATGCATGGTCCATGTAGATTATTCTCCAAGCATGCCAAAGTGGGGGAGAGATAAATTCTTGCACCATTTTAAGTCACTTGGGCATGTGTGGTCATGCCTCCACATATGTATAAATATAGAATTTTAATACATAAAGTTAGGCTTGCAATAGAATATAAATGTTATATACCTTTTTTTAACGGTGGAATTATATTTTTGAAACTAACATATGCTGAAACAATTACAAATAAATAATAGCTAACTTTAGATTTTGCAAGAAACTTATCCAATTAGGTTTTAGCTTTGGCATTTCTATCAGACAGCCAAATATATAATCGAATAAAACCTTTTTTGTGGATTTATCGTTCCAAATATTATATCCTTTTAAAATATCGTTCGCTCAAAACATTATATATATTAATTATGTTTATGTAGGTCATAATAAAATAGGTCACTTTATTGAAAATTTGTCGTTAAGGTTGAATAAATCTCTCTCTCTCTCTCTCACAAGTATTTTTTTTGACTTTATATTCTAAAAAATCGCAACTTTTTATATAATTTCGTTGAAATTTTTTTTTGAAAAAAAGCCAAAATAAATAAATTATAAATAAATAAAAATCGTTTTTTTAATTTTTTTCATCGAATTTATAAAAAAGCTGCGACTTTTAAAAATATAAAGTTAAAAAAAAGATTTGTGATCTCTAAGTATTTATTTTATACATTTTTATGATTTTTAGAGTTTTTTTTTGTTTTCCATATAACTCTTCCTTTTATATATATATATAGGGTCTGGTTATAATGTGGATGAACAACTATTGTGCGGATGTGTGGACAATGTTATTCTATGAGAATTACTAAGAAAATAGATTGTTTAGTAATGTGAATACATTCAACCTCATACAACTATCGTCATTTTCATTCATTCTTACTAATTTTTATTCATTTTTGTTCTCACGCATCGTTTTTTACTTATTTTCATTCTTACAGAATATGACTCAATAAACATTCTGACAGAATGAGAACAATTAAAAAAGTCTATAATAACCTTATAGACGATTTAATTAGTGAGAATGCATGATAATGAAAATAGTAATGTAAGAATGAACGTATTCACATTATCAAATCACATATTTTCTTTGTCATTCACACAGAATAACATTGTCCACACGTTCGCACAATAGATGTCCACATTTGAACCTATATATATATATATATATATATATATATATATATATATATATATATATATATATATACACACACACACACTCACACACACACACACACACTAGGCAGTTCTAAGGGTCGTCCCAAGGACGACCCAGTGTCGAAGATTTGAAAAAAAAATTGGTAAACCATTGTAAATCTCATTATAAGCAAGAAAAAAAAGGCTAAAATGGCATTTAAGAGTCTTCAATACATACATTCAAATTTACATCTATTGATATTCAAAATCGGATGAAACTTAAGTAATATGAGGTCATATTAGAGTTTAACATATCATGTCCAAAGTCCCTGCATCAAATAATGATGGATAAAAATGTGAAAACAAAAAGGACCGTTAAACCTTTGATCATATCACCTAAAATTTATTGAATCTATCATGAAAGGCACATGTAACTTATCTTCCCTTGCAGTTATCTAAGAAAAGTACCAAAATGCCCTTTCTTAGTAATCCAAACCAATCTTCTTTCCAATGCATTTTCATTATAATCTACATTAGCAAATAAAAGAAGGGAAAAATATGCCACTTAGTCATCTTGCAAGACAGCTGGAATGGAAGTTATCAACAAAGTATCTATTTGGCTATTTCATCAATCAATTTACAGTTGAATCAAATTTAAAAAAAATGTCGTTTTTGAGTGTTTGAAGGCTACACAAATCATCAATGGAAATGAGACCTCCTCAAGCCAACTCACATGCAAATATTTGGACTTTTTGGCACTCAAAAAGACTCGACCTCACATAAACAAAAGGCAACCTTACCGGTTAGCATAAGATTGATCAAAGTCTGGAAGATACACAATTATTATCTAACATAACAAAAAGGTGGAAAATAATTTATTTCCATAAAATTTTTCAATCGTGCCCACTGGATTTTAAGGGAAATTGTCATAAAAGCCCTTAAGTTTTCCAAAAAGTATCGGTTTTACCCTTGGACGAGTTTTGGGGGTAATAAAGTCGGATACTTTCTCTAAATGTTTCAAATATCTCTTTTAAGAGGTTACACCCTTAGTAGCCGGTTACCCATGTGCTGATTTGGAACTTAACTGAGGAGTTGGCACGGACGTTACATCCGTTTACCTGGAGCAGTGTACCCATCACCTTACCTCAACCTTTTGCACGTAAACATACACTTTCTCAGAATCCTTCAGAAAATCAACATCATTCATTGCAAATTTAGGGCTTTTTGAAGAAAATTAGGTTATTAGAGAAGAAATATTATGTTATTGGAGAGTCGATTTCACATGGTATGTGTAATTTCTTTGAAGATTGTGTTATTACAGTTTCTTTGTTCTTCAGAGGTTAACGAATAACGATAATGTGTGTTTTTTCAGGTTGTTTTGATAGATTGGGATTCAGAAGACGAAGGCAACACATACCCATTTTTTGGTTTACACGAGCCTTTATCTGGTCTTAATGAGATGGATTTTGAGCTTCATGGCATCTACATGGATCATGAACCAGACGAAGAGTTCGTTACTCCACTGGACAAGTGTAAGGATGCATTTCTTAATGTGTTACTAACTGATGAAAATTTTAGAAACTCTAGTTTGGTTGATGATGTAAGAGCACAAGTGTATCATGGTGATGACTTGCAAAGTGATGAAGATGAATAAGAGCAAGAGCAGGTGGAAAACAAATACATAATACATGATCCAAAAACAAGATGGGACAAAATGGAACCAAAACTTGGTGACATTTTTTAGAATGTTACACAGCTGAAGTTTTATATCAAAAACTATGTAGTCCACAATGGGTATCAACTCTACTTTGAGAAGTGTGACAGTAGCAGAATACTTGTAAGATATGGGAAAAGAAATGAGGATAATGCTTTCCCTTTTAGACTATATACCTCATGGATGTTCAATGAAAGATCTATTCAGATCAAGGGTTTAGAAGCTATTCATGCTTGTGGTAGGAAGTTCAAACATGGCTCTGTGGTTACTCCTGAATGGATAGGTAGACACTACATAACTGAAATTACAAATAAACCTAATATGAAGCTTAAAGAGATGATTACTGACATCAGACAAAGGTTTATGTATGTTGTGTCTATAGGCCAATGTCGTAGGGCAAAGAAATGGGCCAAAGAGCTAATTGAAGGTAAATTGACTGAACATTATGTCAGAATATGGGATTATGCACAAGAGTTGTTAAGATCTAATCCAGGCTCGACATGTAAGGTGTGTGTAACTGTCAATCCAGATGGGATAAACTATTTTCATAGGTTTTATATTGGTTTCAAAGCTATATGTGAAGGCTGGAAAAGAGGGTGTAGAAAAGTTATTGGTTTGGATGGGTGCTTTCTGAAGGGAGCAGTCAAAGGTGAGTTGTTGACAGCCACAGGTAGATATGCCAATAATCAGGTCTACCCAATTGCTTGGGCTGTTGTGGATGTTGAGAATAAGCCTAACCGGACATGGTTCCTTGAGCTTCTAAGGGATGATTTAGATCTTGATGGTGGAAGAGGTTTGGTAGTGATATTAGATCAACACAAGGTAAAAGTTTACATACTTTTCCTCTACTTAATTGCATAATTATCTTATTACGTACTTGTCCTCTATTAAACTAATTAAATCATTGTCTTGTAGGGTCTGCTTGAATCTGTGAAAGATATACTACCTTATGTTGAACACAGGAATTGTGCTAGGCACATTTATGCCAACTTTAGAAAGGCTTTCACAGGTTTGGAGTATAATAAGTTGTTTTTGGGCTGCCTCTATGAGTTGCACAGAAGGTGACTTCAAGAGGCATATGGAAAGCATCAATACTTTGAGCCCTTGTGCATATGAATACTTGATGTCAAAACAACCAAAAACATGGCGTAGAGCCTTTTTTGGACCAGGCTATGCATGTGAAGCAGTTGAGAATGGGATCTCAGCGTACTTCAACTCAATAATATTGGATGCTAGGAAAAAACCTTTGATCGCCATGCTTGAAGAGATACGGATTTATATCATGGACAGGTTTGCTCACATGAATGAGGAAAGTGAAAAGTGGAATTCAAATATTTGTCCAAAAATTTTGAAAAAAATGAATCGATTTGGGAAAAATATGAGGTACTATTTTATGCTTTCTAAAACTTGTCTTAATCATTAATTATTGTTACTAACTAGATAATTGATTGTAGGTTTTGGGGAATAATTCATAGTCAAGGACATGTGTTTGAGGCCAGAAGAGGGTGTGACAGTTACAGGGTGGACTTAGATGATATGACATGTTCATGTAGTCTGTGGGATTTGGCTGGGATCCCTTGTGTGCATGCAAATGCAACAATTAATTTTATCCATCAAACACCTAATGTATACATGAATGCATACTTCTCTAGAGAGAAATTTAGGCAATTTTACTCAACAAACATTGAACCCGTTAATGGCAGCAATCTTTGGGCCCAAACTAAATACATTAAACCATTGCCTCCAATGTCTAGGAGGATGCCTGGTAGGCCTGCTACCAAAAAGAAGGAGGCATGCCAGTGAGAAGGATAACAAGTTTTCAACAACAAAAGTGAAGGTTGCAAAAATACCAGATGTGGCAATTGTTTGGAATATGGTCCTAACAAGAGGGCGTGTAAGAATGAGAGAAAACAATATGTGCCTCCCCCACCAAAGAAGACGGAAAGACCAAGAAAACATCCCATCCCCCATGTATCTGTTCCTAACTAGCCACTAAATGAGAGAATGAGAGAAAACAATACAAGCCATGCTCAACCAAATGTCCCAAGTCAACCTTCATGCTCTAACACAGTGAGGAGGAGTCCAAGAAAACATAACACAGTGAGGATGAGTCCAAGAAAACATCCTATTCCCCCATCAACTACATCTATTCGCAAGCAACAGTCAGGTTCTAAAAGAGTTAGTAGAAATAGTATTGATGTAACTAGGAAGAAGTTGTGCACAAGGAGAGATGGTGGGAGGATTGGTTCTGCAAAAATTGGGAATGATACTCCAACTATAGGTACTCAAGAGAGTGTGGTTCAACAAGTTCTGGTTGCTGATGAGGGTGAAAATGTCATGCAAGAAGGTTATAATATGGGTGAAAGTGTGGTTCAACAACTTCCAGTTGTAGAAGTTCCTGTTGGGTTTTGAGCAAACTAACACTCCTAAGGTGTTCATGCAACCCTAGAAACCTTGGATCTATGTTTGTCTAAAATACATGCAAAATAATTTTCCAAGGTTCATAACCTATCTAGCATACATGGGGTACTTTTAAACATAAAAGATACTAGAAGAATTACATACCTTTGTTAGTGAGTTGATTCCTTGGGAGTTTGAGAGCCAAGCACCAATAATGTGAATGCCTCAAATGGAAATCACAAATCACCACAAACTTGGAAAACTTATGAGAGAACACTCTAATACTCTAGAAATCGGCCACACCTTATGCACACACACATAGTGTCTTCTCTCAAGCACCATAAGCCTCTTTATATAGTGTAGATGATTAGGGTTATGAACCATACAAACCCTAATAACCCATGTCTTTTCCTATTCCAAGGATCCATGGGTTAACAGCTCCATGGATCATCCATGGACTCCTATTCAAGCTTAGCCCATTTCCTTATGAGTGTTAGCCCACACTATATAAGTACAATAGCCCATTATTTAATTAGTCACCTTATGATCACTAAATTAATTCATAATTAATTTAACATCAATACTAATTAAATAATACAATTTCATATTAATATATTATAACTTATAATATATTAGTAAGCCGCAAATATACTCTTCTCATAATGTTATCCATATAAATAGTTCGGGTGAAGTGCAACCCAAATGGACCATGCCGGGTCGGGTCAAGTATATACCAAATAAGTTATGGACTTAGACACCTTATCCAACAGTCTCCCACTTGGATAAGTCTGATAACTGTATTTGCCTATATAGCTTCAGGAACCAACCGGCAATCGTAGCTCTCGAAAACTCTGTTGAACTATGAAGCGCCATTTTAGATAAGTGATCACATAATCCTCTGCTCTCATGATATCAGCCGGACAAATACATGGAACAATGTCTTACTTATTGTCCAGCAGTTTGTTTCCCGATTTCCGATTTGTTTGACAAAGAACTTAATCGAACACATCAATTTAGTTCTGGCCGGGCCCGGTACATAGGTCAAAACAAAATCATCGAGGGGCCCAGATATCGCTTCTATTTCTAGAAGGAACAGATAAACTTCGACTCATATGCTTGTTCTACTACTTATTGAATTGCACACAAAGGCACGTTTTATAACATCATGTTACTGATGCGTTTACGTGCAATCAATGCACAACCAACTCATAGGTAACAACTCATATCTCTAGGTTTGAAGACTTATATGATATTACCGTCTCACGATCACTCGAGATAAATTCCATGAAGTGATACAAGTGAGCGTGGGTTTATTCCAATACTCATAACTTATGAGTACTCATGAATGTTGTAGCAACCATTGCTATGGCTAAACACCTTTATTCATCTACAATCCCAATTCATGACAGTCTTGATTCATACCTACTTCCGACATATGACCGACTGTGGAGAGTTTGAATAAACTTATTATTCTGGAAGTCAAAACATGCAAAGCTGAAACAATAGTAAATAATTGACAATGATAGCAACACCTTACTCATAAATAAATCACAACTTTTATTCATCATCAAACGTCGATTACATTTTACAAGTTTCGGTAATAACTATCTAATCTATAAAACTAATTTCGTCCCTCAGCCCGATGCGTCTCGCATGCTGCAAATGCTTCACCCTCGTCAGTCCCTTCGTAAGGGGATCCATAGGGTTCTCATCTGACGATACCCTCTTTGCCACGAGGAGTCCTTCTTCTATCTTGTGTCTTATGAAGTGATATTTTCTGTCAGTGTGTCGGGATCTGCCATGATCTCTTGGTTCCTTGGCTAAGGCAACCGCACTATTGCTGTCACAGAAAATCTCCATAGGCTCCTTAATAGCTGGTACATCCGATGAAGTTCCTCAGCCATATCGCCTCCTTTGCCGCTTCACTCGCTGCTATGTACTCTGATTCACAAGTCGAATCAGCTACAGTCTCCTGTTTGGAACTCTTCCAAGTGATTGACCGTCCATTTAAGGGTAAAGACCCAGCCCGACTGAGAGCAGAAGTTATCCCTATCAGTCTGAAAGCTAGCATCACTATACCCTAATACTCTCAAGTCATCACTCCCACCAAGGGTAAGGATCCAATCCTTAGTCCTCCGCAGGTACTTGAGAATATTCTTTACCGCAGTCCAATGAGCCTTGCCAGGGTTCCCCTGATATCTGCTGACCATGCTCAAAGTGAAGGCCACATCAGGACGGGTACAAGTCATAGCATACATGATCGTGCCAACAGCGGAAGCATAAGGTAATCGACTCATCTCAGCTATCTCATCTTCTGTACTCGGGCTCTGAGCCTTGCTCAGTTTGGCATTGCTTTGGATCGGTAATTCTCCTTTCTTGGAATTCTGCATGTTGAACCTTTTCAACACCTTATCCAAGTAGATACTCTGACAAAGTCCAATTAGTCTTTTACTCCTTTCTCTTAATATCCTTATCCCTAGGATATAGGCAGCTTCTCCAAGGTCCTTCATAGCAAAGCACTTCCCAAGCCAAGACTTAACCTCCTGCAAGGTTGGGATGTCATTTCCTATGAGTAGTATGTCATCCACATACAGTACCAAAAAGCTAACTATACTCCAACTAGCTCTGACATACACGCAGGACTCATCTTCACTTCTTGAGAAACCAAACTCTTTGACCTTCTCATCGAAACAAAGATTCCAACTTCGAGATGCTTGTTTCAATCCCTAAATGGATTTCTCAAGCTTGCACACTCTATTGGGGTACTCTGCACTGACAAAACCTTCTGGCTGATTCATGTAAACATCCTCAGCCAACTTTCCGTTAAGGAAAGCGGTTTTGACATCCATTTGCCATATTTCATAATCATGAAATGCAGCAATGGCTAGCATAACCCTAATAGACTTAATCTTTGCTACTGGTGAAAAGGTTTCATCATAATCAATACCCTGAGTCTGAGTAAAACCCTTCGCAACCAGTCGAGCCTTATAAGTGTGCACCTTCCCATCCATGTCGGTCTTCTTCTTGAAGATCCATTTGCACCCGACTGTCTTACGGCCTGGTACATTGTCAACCAAGTTTCAAACTTGATTGTCATACATGGACTGTATCTCGCTGTCCATAGCCTCCTTCCATTTAGCAGACTCTGGGCCTGCCATGGCTTCCTTAACACTGTTAGGTTCATCCAGATTTACCAGTGTACTGTCACTGATAAATGTATCACCTTCCGTAGTAATATGAAATCCATAATAAAACTCAGGTGTGTTCCTAACCCTTGTGGAACGCCTCGGAAGTATAGACTCGTCAGCTGGATCAACAGGAATTTCTCTCAGGTTGATTGCTAGTGTCTGAGGTTCCTTCACCAATTGAGTCTTGAATTTATTCAAGGTCAATTTGCCTCCCACTGTCTCCTTGGTTTATAAATTCTCTCTCTCGAAATACCCCTCTCCTAGCCACAAAGACCACATTCTCACTGGGTCTGTAGAAGAGGTAACCAAAGGATTTTTGTAGGTAGCCGATGAAAATACACCTTTCACTTCGAGGTTCGAGCTTGTAATGAGTCTCGCGCCTCACGAAAGCCTCGCAACCCCAAATCTTGATATGGTCCAAATTGGGAACTTTCCCAGTCCACATTTCATGAGGTGTTTTGGCAACCTTCTTTGTAGGGACTAGATTAAGGATGTGGGCGGCAGTCTCTAAGGCATACCCCCAAAAAGAGATTGGTAGCGAAGCTCGACTCATCATAGAGCGAACCATGTCCAACAAAGTTCGATTACGCCTCTTAGCTACACCATTCAGATGTGGTGTCCTGGGAGGTGTCAATTGTGAGACAATCCCACACTCCTTAAGATAGTCGAGGAACTCAGTACTAAGATACTCACCACCTCGATCGGATCGAAGCATCTTAATGTTCCTGCCCAATTGATTTTCTACTTCCTGTTTAAACTCTTTAAACATTTCAAAAGTTTCTGACTTATGTTTGATTAAGTAGACATAACCATATCTACTAAAATCATCAATAAAAGTCACATAATAGCGATTAGCATCCCTTGTGGCGGTTTTGAATGGTCCACATACATCAATATGTATAAGGTCCAACAAACCCTCACCCCTTGCATAAGTACCAGTGAAGGGTGATTTTGTCATTTTTCCAAGTAGACAAGACTCACAACTATCATCCGACTTAAGGTCGAACGACTCCAAGACCCCCATCCTTTTGGAGCTGGCCTATGCGTTTCTTGCTTACATGTCCAAGACGACAATGCCACAAAGATGATTTATCCAAGCTAGTAGAAGAATCAATACATAATACATTATTTCCTAAATCATCTACAACCGATACAGCTTCATACACACCATCACAAGGTAATGCTTTAAAATAAAGAACATTATTAAAGAAAACATTAATACTACCAACTTCATTATCAAAAGAAAAGGTAAAACCTTGTTTGTACAAAGCATGAAAGGAAATAATATTCCTCGCCATTTCAGACGAGTACACACATTTATTCAAATCTAACTTTAACCCACTATCTAGCAACAAAGTATAAACTCCAATCTTGGCAACAGGTGCAACCTTCTTGTTCCCCCCATGATTAAGTTTATCTTTCCGTGCTCCACATCCTCACTTCTTCTTAGGCCCTGCAAGTCACAAAAGATGTGAATACCACAACCTGTATCAAGAACCCAAGAATTAGAATATGGTGAGTTATTAGACAATATAGTGTAAATACCTGCATAGGATGGTTTCACTTTCCCATCCTTGACATCCTGCAAGTACTTTGGGCAGTTTCGCTTCCAGTGCCCCTTATTTTGACAGTAGAAGCATTCAGTATCCTTAGGGATGGCAGAAGGAGTGATAGAACCACCTTTGGTTCCAGATGAGGAGCCTTCAATGGACTTTCCCTTGGTACCCTTCGAAGGGTGCTTCCTCTTCTTCCATTTGCCTTGCCCGATAGCCAAAACAGGGGTAGTAGTATGAGTAGGAGTAGAAACCGACTTACTCTTAAGAC